TAGCCTCAGATTACAACTAATGTATCTTAGCTTACAATTATCAAGTAAAATACGTAAAATGAATTAATAATCATCTGAGATATTATGGCTATAATTGATAATTTAGTTAATTATAGTAAATATGCATATTTTTAAATAAAATAAAGAAAAGAAATATGTTTAAAATAAATATCATATTATAGTTTTATATAAAGTATATATTTTATAAAATTTTATATTATATATTTTATAATAAAATATACTTTTATTAGCAATGATGCTTTTAATAGAATAATTAAATATTATAATAAATCTTTTAGTTTTTAAATAAAAAAAGGTTTGAATTAATTTTGAACTTTTAGATAAAATTAAAAATGTATTATTAAATTTAAAAGATTATATTATTTATAATAAAAATATATAAAATTAAATTAAGAAAATATTTAAACTTAAGAAAAAAATATCAGATAACAATAAAGTTATTATAAAAATAAATAATAATTTAATATTAATAGTTAAAAATACTATATAAAGTTTTATTCAAATTTATGTTAAAGTTATATAATATAAAGGTCAAAATAAATATAAAAATTAATTATAGAAAAGTAAAATTAGATAAAGAAAAATATAAAAAAATTTATTAATAATTATATAATATATGAATACAAAAATTATTATTTTATTTTTTAGCTGTAAAACTCATTATTGAAGAAGATTTTTTTATATTTAAATAAATATTAATTTATTTCATTTTTTATAATAGATATTATTTATTCTATTAGTATATTATTATTTTTTAATTATTAATTAATTAATTTATTTTTTTTTAGATTGATCTTATTGATTTATCATATATTATTAATAGGAAGTTTAAATGTATATATTATATATAAGATCATTTTATAAGATTTTATAGACTAAGATTCTCATATCAAAAAAAATAATTAAAGTTACTACATATTTTTAATTTTTGGATTTTATAGAATCCTTTTTAACTATATTATAATCAAATAATGCTAAAGAATTTTATGTAGAAATAATTAAGAAATTAATTGAATTATAGTTATCAATAAAGATTATAAATAGATATTCTTAATATTTATAATTCTAAGGACTAGTTGAATATGCTAATATAATTTTACAACAAAATTGGAAAAGTAAAAAGAAAATACTAACTAAAATGATTAATCTTTTGATCTTAGATTTATTATTTTAATTATGAATATTTTATGATATTGATCTCATAAAAAAACTCTATATAAATTTATCTATAAAATATTTCAAATATTTGATAATTATGTTAAAAATTTGGATGATAATATAGTATTTAGATAAGTTGGATTTTTATCATTATTTTATCATTAGTATTATTTATATTAGAGTTCCAAAAATGACTCGCATAAACTCGCATATTTGACTCGCATGATTGTGCATAATTATAAATTTTAGTTACACATAATAAATAAGTACTTTAAATTAAAGGTATGTAGGATAATTTTGACTTGAAACTTGACTCGACTCGACTCATTAGGAACACTAATTTATATCATTATTTATTATTAATGAATAAAGTAAATTAATTATTTTATTTATTTATTTTTTTTAGATTTTTAGATTTTTATTATTATTGCTACTATTAATACTATTAGTATAATCAGTACTAATAATACAATTAATACTAATAATATTAAAGTAACCTTAAATAATTAAGGTATAATTTAGCCATTTAAGTATAATACAATCAAATTTTTATAAATACTAATATTTTTATTTTTTTACTAATCATACTATATTTATAACTTTGTATATATATATATACTATCAATATTGCAGGTATAATATGATCCTATTTATTTAAAAAATGTATTTACAACTTTAGTTATATGGTATAATATAAATAGATTATATGTAAATATTTTATATTTATTATTTAATAATGCTTAAAATTAAAATTATTTATAATTAATTGTATTTATTAATTAAAAATTTTTATTAAAATAACAAATATTGTTATTTAAAAATAAATTAGACATGTTAAAAAAAAATAAAAATTTAAACAAATTAATATTAATTTAAACAAATATATTATTTTTTTATTTATTATTATTATTATTATTCATCTCTTTTTTCTATTCTTTTTTAACTGTAATTCTTTGTATCTTAAATTAATTTTATTTTATTTAAGCTTTAATTTTCTTTCTTTTAATACAATTTTTTATTTTTTAATTTTAATTACATTAATTTCTATTAGATTATCATTTTTTTTTATCATCAATAATTATCATCTTATTTCTTTAAAAATATGAGACTTTTCTTTATTAAAGATTTTTTTTTTTTACTTTTTGGATGATTTTTTAATTAATAATTTATTTAATTTTAAGTTTAATATTTAATAATTAATAAATATATATTTTAATTATAATTTGTTTTATTTATTTTTTTTGATTTATTTGAACTTTATTTTCATAATTATTTTTAATTTTACTTGACATAAGATCTTCTGTCTATTGATATATTTGAATTTTTTTAAATATATTTATTATATTTCTATCTTCTAAAATACAAATATTAAAAATTATTACTAATAATAATAATAATAATAATTATCTTAAAATTACTGTTTTAATTTTAATAACTTCTTTATTTAATTAATCATTATATATGTATTTTTTGCAGTATTTATATTAAATAGTATTATTATTCAATATTCATATAACATTAAAGAATAATTGTATATTAAAAAGCTAATAACTTATGATATTTAATAAAAAACTAGCTAATTTTAAAAAAAATCAATAATTTATAATAATTAATTAATATAAATTAAACAAACTAATTATATATAATATACTTATTGTCTATACTATTTTTAAATTTGTTTTAAAATCTTATTTTTTAAATTTGCAAACATATTATACTTAGTATTCATGTAATAAAAATAGTGATTAATATTTCTATAATATAAAAATTATTAATTATTAAAAAATTATATTTTAATATCTTAATTAAAAATAAATAAATTATTTTTATAATATATACAACATGATTAAAATATATATTTGTAAATATTTTTTATCTTTATATATAAAATATATTTTTTTAAGATTTTTTCTAAACTAAGAGTTTATAAAAATGTTAAAATATATATTATTATTGAATTAAATTATAACATTAGTAAAAACTTATTAGTTTTAAATAATTTATCATATACATTAAATTTTTATTTTATTAATATTACTATTGATATCATATGAAGTCAATTTTATTATGTCACAAAGATTGATCAATGATCAATATTATTAACATCATTAGCATTTTTAACTTAATTAATATTTTTATTTTATTTATTTTATTCTTATATTTAATTATTATTAATTATTATATTATTATCATTGTTAAATTATAATTTATCTTTTATATTTATCTTAGCGTTATAAAATAGTTTAATATTAGATAGTAATTTCTTATAATTGTATTTTTGTATAAATAGAATAGAAATTTATCTTCATAAAAGGGTAGAGATAACAGTGATAACTCAATAGTTTAAGTTTAAGGCTTAGAATCTAAGGTTAAGGATTGCTAAGGATACAAATCTCTATAATAAAGGAATCTCTTTCTAAAACTACATACATATAAAATCCTTTAACGTGTCAATCATGTTTATTGTGTTTACAAATTATTAAAATTATTTATTCGTTTAAAATATAAACCTAAAGTTAATTGCAATAGGACTTATTCTATAGTAACTTAGTAGTTTCTCACATGTTACTTCCTATTATTAAGTCATCATTACCTTAAGTTTGATGGGCTAAGTATAGAGTTAACAAATTGGTAATTTCTGTCAGGATTATAATTGTCTCTATTAAACTTATATGAATATATCTACTAGTTTTGACATTCTAAAAATAATCCAAGAATATTATAAAGCATACAAAAATAATACATCTTTAGAAAAAGATGTATCTTATATATAATGTAATACTATTAATCAAACAATAACAAGAAATTTTAAAAACTTTTAGAATTGGATTACTATTGAATATAATACTATAACATTTAGTGATTTTTTCTTTAATAGCATTCAAATTTTATTTAGATAGCTATCATGAAAATGCTTATAATAGTAATAAAACAACTAAAGTAATAGTTGCATTATTATATTGTTTAAATTATTACCTATATCTTACTGATTTATCTTCCGTTTTATAACATTTATTAGTCATCCACACTACTGAGTGTTTTGAAACATCTTTTAATACTTCTGTCTCATCCCTTACTCCTACATCTACAATTACTGAATTAACTGAAATAACAATGAATAACAAACAGTTAAAAATCTTATAAATTACATAACAAAAAGTTTCAAAGATTTTGCTAAAGATATCAAAAGTACACTATCTAGTTCAGGTAGAAATAATGGAAATCCAATATCAAAAGAAAGTAATATTATCTCAGTAAAACCTTTTTATGAAAATGATGATGAAGACCCTAATGATTGGATTAGAAGTTTTAAAATTGTTGCTGAAGCAAATAATTGGTCTAAAGCTCGCATGTTGAAAATTGTATCAAGATATTTACATAGACTAGCTGCATATTAGTTTAAAGAAAATGTCAATACTATTACTTGATGGAATGTAAATAGTAATGCTGCTGTAAGTTTTATACCATTATTTTTGGAAAAATTCTCAACTGAAAAAAAGCAAAATTTATGACATCAACAGCTGAATACACTTCATCAAAGATCTTATGAAAAGGTAGACTTCTATGCAGAAAAATTTAAAAGATTGTTAAAGAAAGTTGACTCTACTAATACTTTACTAGATAAATATACTGTGAGACTTTTTCTTAATGAATTGAAAAATAATATTGTCTCTTTTGTTGCATTTTCTCAACCTAAAAAAGTAGATAAAACTATTGAAGCTGCTAAACAAGTTAAAAGTAGACAGTATTATGAATAGTAATCCCCTTTACTAACTTAAGCAAGTAGAAGTAATAATACTATTGATAATCTTACTAAATAAATGAAACAGTTATTCTTAAACTACGCAACTCTCTCTAATGCATTGTCTACACAACTTGAAGGAAAACCTGAAAGAAGGAAGCTGAAAGATGATAGAAATCTTACAAAAGTTTGGGATAAAAAGGATGTTTTGTTTCTATTACTAAGAAAAAGAATATTACTTAAAAGAATGTATGTCTGAAAAGCCAGTATATTGAAAAAAATCTGATAAAAGAGAAGCTAGTTATGTTAGAGTATATATAGATAGTGAAGAAGAAGAAGAAGAGGTAAAAAAGGAAGAAGTTTATGCTCTTTCATGTAATAAACCTTACATTACTAACAGAAAGACTATATAACAGTTAAAAGCAAAAAAGAAAAGGCAATTTGAATCTAAAAGAGAATTGAATTTAAGAAGTAGAAAACCTGTTAACAAATTCATGGAAGTAAAAACTTCACAAATTGTTACTCCTACTCCTAAAAAGAAAGTTAAATGAGAACCATCTCAAATTGACCAAATACCTCTCTATAATATCATGCAAAATTTATTACAAATGCCTTTTTCTGTAAAAATTGGTCAACTTCTACAATATCCAAATCAAAGACGTAACCTTACTCAAGAATTGAGACGACCAAAAAATCCAAAAAATAAACTATGCTAATCAAGAAAGTAAAGAAGAAAAGAAAGATAAATCTACAGCTATTTGCTATTATGTCAAAATTAAAAGAAATCCTGTAGTTGTCATCCTAGATTCTGGAGCTGCTGTCAGCATTATTACTAGAAAATTAATGAAAAAAATTGGATTATCTATTAATGAATAGTCTAACACTGTTATAATAACTACCAATAGAGAAAAAACTAGAGCATTAAGACAAGTCAAAAAGGCTCAAATCGCTATCCAAAAGTTATTAATTCCTATTTCTTTACAAGTTATTGACTCTCAAGATGAAACTTTATTTCTAGAAACAGATTAGTTTAGAAAAACTCACACCAGCCTTGATTTTGAAAACAACTAAATTAGATTAAGATATTTAGTAAAAACAATCACAATTTCTATAATTTCTAATGTAAATAAAACTCCTATTAGTTATCCTAATACTTAAGACCAATAAGATGATGAATTAGAACAAGTTTTAGATGATTATGAAGAAGAAGAACTTAGTGAAATTAAAGCTTATATGACAAATAGTCAAGAAGAATATGAGGATGAAATTGATCTTTTACCCCTCAATTATAACTCATAGAACGAAGAAAATTCTGTCTATTTAACGCTTACATTTAAAGAAGAAATTTAAACCTAATCCAGCTGTATTTCTTGCTGAAACTTCTAAAGAAAATATTTGGAAAATTAAAGATGAACTTTAGGTTAGACCCCTTAATGATAAACAATAAACGTTTTTTCAGAAATTAATTGATAATTACAAGAATATATGTGTTTTAAGTCAAACAAAAATTGGACATACTAGAAAGATAACTCTTAGGACAATATATAATCTCAAATCCCAAAAGTTTAAGGACTTAGTTGATGAAGCTTATGAAATTTTTGCAGGAGTTGCAAATTTAGAGAAGGAAATTGATATTATGTGAAGTCAATCTTACTACATCATAAAGATTAACAAATAATTAATGTTATTAACATTATTAGCATTTTTAACTTAATTAATATTTTTATTTTATTTATTTTATTCTATATTTAATTATTATTATTTATTATATTATTATCATTGTTAAATTATAATTATCTTTTATATTTATCTTAGCATTATAAAATAGTTTAGCATTAGATATTAATTTTTTATAATTGTATTTTTGTATAAATAGGATAGAAATTTATCTTCGTAAAAGGCAGAGATAATAGTGATAACTTAATAGTTCAAGTTTAAGACTTAGAATCTAAGGTTAAAGATTGCTAAGAATACAAATTTTATAATAAAGAAATCTCTTTCTAAAACTATATACATATAAAATTCTTCAACATATCAATCATATTTATTGTGTTTACAAATTATTAAAGTCATTTATTCGTCTAAAGTATAAACCTAAAGTTGATTGTGATAAGATTTATTCTATAGTAACTTAGTAGTTTTTTATATATTACTCCTTATTATTAAGTCATCATTACCCTAAGTTTAACAGGCTAAGCGTAAGGTTAATACTATAAACTTTTTTAAATGAAAGATTAACTTTAAAATAATTAAATTTAATATATTTTACTACTTATTCATTAGTTATATATAAGGTTACTTGTTTAAACTCATTTTAGATTTGACAAAACGTTTAAATTATAGTTTTTTCTAATTTTTATTAAGGTTTTAATATAATTTCATATTTTATAAGCTTTAATATAGTTTTACCTATTTTAGGATTTCACAGATTTTTAATAAGGTTTTAATATAATTTTATTTTTTTCTATTTAGACAACTTGCAAAATCTTTAGGTTTTATCTAGCAACCTTAAACATATATAATATTTTTATATATCATTAAAAAAACCTAAAATGCAATATATATAAATATAATAATATTATAAAATAATAATAAATATATAAACATTTTTATTTATTAATTTTTTGTATATAATTTTTATTTCTTAAGTATTTTGATAAAAATTATATAGTATTCTAAGAATTCCTTGATTATATGAATTTTATTGCTTTTGAATATATGTAATTAAGTATCAAAGTTTATTAATATTATTAAGAAATGTATATATTTTATCAATTATATTTATTTTAAATACATATTTAAATAAGTTATATTTTTGAGTAATTAATAATTTAAAAAAAAATAAAATAAAAAAATAAGTTAAACTAATCTGATATTAACTGCTATATAACTATATTAATAAAATAATCTTTAGTACTTTTAATAAGTTTTTTAATTTTAATTTAATACAAAAAAGAGGTTTAGATAATAGGAATAATGATATATATGAATTTCTTTATATATTAAAATTACAAATAGATATTTTTGTAAATATAAAGGTATAAATATTTTAAATTTAATAATATAATAATACATTATAATTCTAATTATTAAGTTATATCTTAAAGAAATAAATAATATCTTAATAAAAAAATTATTAATTTTTTAATTTTAAAAAAATAAGTATCTATTTTATTAATAAAATTAATTATCACAATATTTTTTTTTGTAATTACTTAAAGAATATTATGATTAGTATTATTTTATAAAATAATAATAATATTATATATTATATATAATTAAAGTAAATATTACATTAAAAATATATATTTTTTGATTTAAAATTCTTCTTTTATTTGCAAAAAGTAATTTTAAAAGATTAACATTTATATTAGCTTTAATTTATAAAGATATATGATTTTTTATTCTATTTTTATATTTCATATCTTATAAATTAGTCTTTGCTGACAGGTTTATAATAGATACTGTCTCATGACTTCAAACTTAGAAGCTCTTACACAAGTAAGGAAATGGTTAACTAATAATTAGTAGATTGAGTACTACCTTCAGTAGTTATGATGATAATAGATTGTATTACACTACTATTTTACTTTATTGATTTATAATATGAACTAAATAATATTTAATTTTTGATTTATTATTATAAGTATATATATTATTTGAATAAGAACACTGAGTATTTATTGCTATTATATATTTATTATAAGAAATTATGATAATAAAAATTATTATTTAAAATAATAAATTCAAAAAATAAAAATAATAATTTAAACTATAACTTATATTTATATAAGTACTTTTGTAAGTATATTAATTGAAGTAGTATTAAAATTATTCTTATAAATAAATGAATCAATTTCAAAATCTATATCAAAATGTGATATTTTTAAGATATCTAAATCAGTCAGCTTATAAGTTTAATATTATCATAATACTTTATTACTTTTTTAATCTAAATTTATCATTTATATTCTAGATTATCTAGATTTTTATCAAAAAATAAATATCTAATATTAGAAGAATTATTAATTCATTTATAGAGTAAATATTAAAATATTAAATCTATTTTAACAAATATTAATTTTAATTAATTTTTTTTATAAAAAGTTTAATTAATTTAAAACTTACATCATAAAATAATACTTTAGAATTTATCTAAATTTCATATAGTATACATATGCAATTCTTTCATTTGAAGTTATTGAAAATTTAATTGGAATTAAAAAATGTTTAATATCTTTGATTAAATATCTTTTATAAATACAGTTATTTTAAATTTTTTGTTATTTAATATATTTCTTCAGCTTAAATAAAAATATTTTCATTTTTAAATTAAAAATCTTATAAAATTTTGTTAATAAATTTATTTTACTGCATATTATTTTTTACTTTTTTACTTATAAAAGGATTATATTTTAACAGTTTATTAAATTTTTCTAAATTGATAATATATTTAAATAATATAAAATATAATTATATATTTTATATAAAAATAATAATAATAAAGAAAAAATTAATAAAGAAGAGAAAACAAAAAATTTTCTGATTAAATACTCATTATATATAAAATTTGTTGATAAATTATTATGATTACAAGTACAAATTAAAAATATAATCAACAAAGTCTTAAATATACTCAAAAATATAGAGTTAATTATCATTGTTAATTATTTACTATATTGATATATACTTATACATAATTGATTATACTTTACCTTTTATATAATATTGTATTATAATTAAATACTATATATTTATAATACTATTATCACAATTAATACTAGTAGCATCAGTAGTACTGTTAATACTATCAGCATAATTAGCATAATTAGTATCAATAGTATTATTAGTATCATTAGTATCATCAGTATAACTAATATAATCAATATCAGTGATATTATTAGCATTATTAGTACAATCAGCACAATCTGCATAATTAATATCATTAGTATATTAGTATCATCAGTATCATTAATATGTATTTAAAATTTTTATTTTTAATTTATTATTAAATTTAAGATTTTATTTACTATTGTTATCTTACGATATTAACGACTAAAAATTAGTATTAACGCAAGATTAACAAAGGGATTTAGCTTTTATTTAATACTTTTTAGGGAGAGCTCTGAAGGGTTTATAAATAATTATTACTTCAAATGATAATGTATATTTAGAATAAACTTTGAGGATTTTATTAAAGAATAAAGAATTTGATATAATTATATTTGTTAGCATATAACTATTATTAGTATTTATCTTGTTGGTGATAAAACTAATTGAATTCTAAATGTTTACAATTATTTTGTTATAATTGTTTACCGCTAT